CACACATATATATATATATATACACACATATATATATATCATATCGATCCTCCTGCCTCAGCTTCCCAAGTGCTGGGATTATAGGCGTGTGCCACCACACCCAGCTTACAAAAATTTAATAGAAGAAAATAATCAGAGATTTTCATACATACATACATGCACACATTCCTGTGGGAAAGATACATATAGCGGTGTATCTTGGTAGTTAGGAGTGATAACATCTTGGCAGTTAGAAGAGGAAAGGACTAGATGGAGTACAAAGATGACTTCATGCCTGGTATGGTGGGGCACATTTGTAATCCCAGCTACTTGGGAGGCTGAGGCAGGAGGATCACAAGTTTGAGGCCAACCTGGACAACTTAGTAAGACCTGTCTCTGAAAATAAAAAAGGCTAGGAATGTAGTTTAGTGGTAGCATGTTCCTGGGCTCAAAGCCTAGTAATACTGCAAAAAGGGATGGGGCTTCAGCTGTGTATATGACATGTTTTTTAAAGATCTGAGGAAAACAACAGTGACTGGGTGATAAGCAGGTAGTAGAGATAGTGAGTATAGTCTGCTTTTTTTTAAAAAAAGTTTAGATGGAGAAAGAAAGGAGACTGCATGATGTCTGGAGAAAGACACTGTATCAGAGGCCTTATTCACTCAACATTTTCATGATGACATTTACTTATCCATCCATCCATCTTTTTTTTATTTGATTCATTTCAAAGAAAGTTTCAGGCATCAGTATGCATCATTAGGAAAGTTTTTGGATTAGATAAGAGAGATGAACACATGAACTGAGAGGAGGACAGAGTTTAAGGTGTGGTTGAAAGAAAATAATTGTTTAAACCCTGAAAGAAGCAGTGAGCTTTGACCTTTGAAAAAGAGGAAAAGATGGTAGAGGCATGGGGATGTTGAAGGCGGCCTCAATGTTTTCTCCTAGAAAAAGGAGGTAGAAAACATTTGTTAGGAATGTGTGTTCTGAGTTGACTGGGTCTTAAATAGAAAGACAAAGACAAAGTATATTTACTGGAGAAAATGAGAGAGGAAATTGATCAAAGACAAGTGAAGGGATCTATATAGCTTCTGAGGGTCCAGTTGATCCTGAATCTTCAGCAGCACAAGGCTCTACATCATACAATTTTCTTCAGACCTGTCATTTGAGAAGGAAGATCAAGAAAAGCAGACCATAGAATAATCTAGGTTGGATGCAGGACAGGTGCAAGGTAATTAGTCTGCTTGGCATTACTACAATGAAATGCCAAAGGCAAGTAATTTATAAAGAGAAAGAGTTTATTTAGCTCACAGTTTTAGAGGTTCCAAGTCCAAGATGAGGAGACTTATGAGAGGACACCGTTGGCTTTCAGTGAGGGCAAGTAGGTGGTGGCACATCATGGTGGGAGATCATATGGGCACAAATACTCACATCTAGAACAAGAGCAGAGGAAAAAGAGAAGATAGGTAGGTAAGACCATGCTTGCTTCTTTTATAAGAAGAGAACTACCAGGGGTCACACATGAACTACCCCATGTCCCTACCGACCTAAAGACCTCCCATTAGGCTTCACCCAAAGGTTCCACCTCCTCCTGGGAACCAAGCTTCTATTCACAATGAATCCTTGGGGAACATTCAGACCACACCCCTAGTCATGGGTTTCAGGCAGTCAATAGTCTCAGGCAGGATAATGGAACTAAAAGAGTCTAGAAAAGGCTGTAGAACCAGAATAAAATGAAGAGGTCAATGTATCTCAGTTCTCATGAAACGGAAAAGCAGTTCCTCAGCTGAGAAACAAATCTAGAGAGAGCCCTTATCCTAACTAGGCTGATTGCTGCCACTCCAGACACAGAGGCACACAAAAATGCTTCTAGTCATTTATGCTCTCATTTTTTAAAATGGTTTAGCGCTTTCTTATATCAGTGGTTTGTTACTTTCTTATGTCTGCCTATTACGATGAAGCCTCTTTTCTCACTTCCTGTGCCTATTACTACAAACTATGTAATCATTCTTTCTGCTGAGCTATCTGGGTCAATTATTCCAGTATAAATAAATTTACCTTCTGAAACTTTTTTTCATAAAAGCATAGAGTTTATTTCCTTGTCTTGAGTTGAAGGACTCTCCTTTAAGGCGAGTGTTTGTCTTTCACATTTCTTGGGTTGAGGCCGTTCATTCTCCTATAAACTGTGTTGAAGGGTAGAGGGAGGGCATTTGATTGACGCTTCACTGCTACTTCCAGCCCCTCACTCTCTGTCAGGTAAAATCTCATTCTTTCCTTATGGCTTCCCTCTACCTTTCTTCCTCACAGCCACTAACCAACATCCTGGTCACTTTTCTTCTTTCACCTAAAGACTTCATCCCGCCTCCCAACTCTATCTTAGGATTTGGTGTCAGCAGCAGAGCCAGTATTTTAGCTTCCTAATTGCTGAACCTCCTTAACCTTTGTGACCATCTCCTCCATCTCCTTAAATTGTCTGCTTCCCAGAAACACATTGTGTACCTTGTCATCTCCGAGACGTCACACCTCAGTAATCCTAAATTCCAAGGTCTCCCCTTCTGACTATTTCTAACTTTGATAAAAATGTTCAGGTTTCTTATTCTCAGTACTTGTGATCAGTATTAATCAATAACAGGGAGACATTTCAGGAGCTGACATGATCATCTCTACCCATATTTAGATAACTGACAGTTTACAAGGAACATATTTGGGATTTTTTGGTCTTTATTTTCAAGGGTCTTAGCCTCCAGCAAGTATAAGTGATATCTTGGCAACTTTATATATAACAGACAAAAGGAAAATGAGCTGGTGTAGAGTTCACATACCAGTCAATTGTGATTATATCACTCTCAGAATAACATGAAGACAAATAGCAACTTTTTTAAAAAAAATCTCTCCTCTAGAATCTTTGGGCTGTGATTTTTTTTTTTTAATTTTGTTTTTTGAGGCCTCATTAGAACCACAAAGCTAAGGAAATTCTTGCTTTCCTTGTGTAGGGTGAAATAACTTAGTGTCTCCATAGTTACTAAAAAAAACCCACAGAAATTAATTTGGTAAAGATTACATACACTGTGTTGGTTAATAAATGGTTAGTACTGTGTGTTCCAAGCAGAACTGGATTACTCAACAGGTACATTGTTTGGGGCGCTGGCAAAGTTAGAACACACAAAAATGCATACGAAACTTTTAAGAGTTTGATATTTGTCATTTCTGATTCAAATTACACAGTGGTTTTCTCTGTGGGAAAATCAGAAGTTTGTTGCTTTTCCTAATACTCTGCAATTTAAAAAAAAAATCACATGGGATGGTTGTCTTATTATTGTTAGTGCTTAGGATCTTTGAAGGTTTTAATCAGGCCCTGATGTCAGAGGCCACTGTGGTTCCACCTAAGTATTTTTATTCTTTTTGCATTCCTATACTTGAATGTTGAGGTGTGGTCAACATTTTGAAGGAGGTTTGGCCAAGAAGTGACTGGTAGAGATCTGTTTGTTTCTGGCCTGTTCCACTGCTTTGCCAAAAAATATTGTCATTGGTTGATATAAGCAGTGGGCTTCTCTTAGAGGATATGGTCCAGGTAGAAAAGGACTCTCACAAAACTCAAACAGATTCCCAATCTTTTTTTTTTTTTTTTTTTTTTTTTTTTT